TTAGTTACGTCTGCTTATGTTGGCACACAAAAGTCTGTTAACCTTTTGTACGATGAAATGGCTGAGTTAAGAAAAAACCTTTCCATCCTGTCCACACAAATGGTAAGTTTTTTCTTGATTCTTTTTATTACTCATGAAGTTATCGAATAATCCGTAATGGTTGAGTTATACCACCTACAACTAAAAGAATCTTGTCTTAGGGATAGCTGAAAACTGTGTTTACATTTTCTTATTTTCTTTCACAAAAACCTTTGAAATACAGTGAGAAATGTTATCCGTGATGAAACAATTAGATCTTTGGACAAAAAATCCTGTAATTAAAAAAAGAARCATGACAACATTACGAAATAAACTAAACACAGCAGGACAGTAAATAGAGCTCCTGAAGACAAATGTGAGCATAACGACTACTAGTCTCCAGCAGCAATACACAGCAGTAAACACTGAAGCCATCATGAACGCGACTGATATATAATATTATTATATACCATATGTCAAAGTTCAATTTTCCTCAATTTCTATTTGTCGAGAGTGTGTCACGTGAACGTGAAGAAATTCGACTGTTTCCTGGCGACCATTCTGGGAGGAGAATATTATGTTATGGACCGGGAATAACAAAACCGGAAGTCACGTGATTGACAAAATATAAAAACCGGAAACAAGAAAGCAACACATTTGAGCGCGCGTTTGCAAAATTCATTCACACGTTTTCTTTCACGAAACACCAGATTAAAAATGGGATCTTCGCGATTTTGTTGTTCTCTTTGACACTTGGTATGATAATAAAGCACTTATTCGGCTCGCCTCGTGAAACATCAGCGGTCGAGGAACCACAAAACATACTGTTTCCCTCGGTCCCAGTAAATAAGTGTTAATTACTAAAGAATCCGCTAAAAAAGACCCGCTTGATRGACGTGTCCCTGTGTACCGAATCATGCTTTATTGCAAAGCACCCGAAGTTCAACCTCTATCACTTTCACAGTTGTGTTTTGAAATTCAAATGAAACGTGTTTTTTTTTTGCTTACATAAACAGATCGATGCAGTGTCTAAGATGCCAGGACCTCCAGGACCACAGGGTCCCCCTGGAATCAACGGTACTCAAGGAATCCAGGGTCCACCGGGGATAGATGGAACTCCAGGGTCACCCGGTGTACCGGGGTCTAATGGTTCAACAGGCCCGCAGGGGGCTCCTGGTGCAACAGGAGAACCAGGTCCACGGGACTTCAATGGTTCAATAGGACCCGTTGGTCCAAAGGGAGACCAAGGAGCAGGAAATCTTACACAATGTGTGGTGAAGACAAAACAAGAAGTAGCGAATAGCGGGCCTTCTGCAGAACGG